CTGAGGGCATTATAAAACATGTTAATTATGGTTTCACAATTAAATTGGTGCAGATATAATTTTAATTGAGGTTAGAATTAGCTTCTGCTAAGTGTCATAATAGTGTTTGCTTTCATGTTAGCAAACCTAATGTTTATAATTATTGCTTTAGGATTTCTGCAACAAATGTTTTAGTTAGCAGGGCCCACAATTGGTACCTTGGTATTCCAGCTTCTTAAGCTCCAACTTCTTTTCAAAATTTTAGGTACAACAACAACAACAACAACTGTGGATTTTCTGCAAAGAGTTTGGAGTTGCATCATCAGAAAAATGTGTGAATGCATGAATGTGCATCAGTGGTACTGCTGTACACATTTTTTATGACAAACTTAAGATTTACACAAAAACAACTAATTATCCCAGCATAAATTTAGCTGTGTTCAAATGAAGCTACATATTTGAACAGAGATTGTGCAAAAAACAGCAAAATAAAAGAATCGTGGCAATCATCTTATTGTGGTTTGTGAGCTTGAACAACAGTTTCACAATACTTGTTTAAGGTCACTAACACAATAATACACTAATTTTAAAAGGACAGACTCAGCAGGATACACAACTTTGCACCTTTGTTACACAGCTTGCTGCAAAAGCAACTCATGAGAAACCGCACAATAGTTCAGTGAAACCATCCGCACCAAGCTAATGACTAAGCTAACCTATTCAACAAGCACACCAGGAGTGGGCATTTCCAAATCTCAGACTCGTGTCCTGCATGCTTTCAAATGTTTCCCTGTTGAATACAACTGATTTAAATAAACAGGTCATTAGCAGGCTCCTGCAGAAATAAGTGACAGGCTGATAATTCAACTATCTGAAGCAGGTGTTTGGAGAAGGGGCATATTTAAAACATGCAGGGCACGAAACCTTGAGTGATGGGTGGCTTACTCACACCTTAAGACTGCCCGATATGAAAAGGAACATGAATGTCTTCTGGCCCCTCAAGACCTCTACAAAGAAGCTGATTTTTATATGTACAGTATATATATTTAAACCTGTTATAAATGTTCAAACTGATTTTAGCTCAAAACGGTGCAAACATTAAGCATGCAAGAAAACAAGAGGCTCTCGCTGAAACAAGACAAATTCTTCCTTCTAACTGAGAAACTAAGATGACTTAATTTTCTATAACTTGACATCTCACTTTGTTAGAATGGATTAGGAAATTAATAAAAGGAGGCTTGTAAATCTGACAGTTCTAAATTAAGCAGCGAGTATCCAAATTACAAAATTAAAAGTGGGGAAATGAAGCCGAGGATAAATAATTGGCTGGGGAAATTTGAATGGAAAAAAAGTAGTGGGAAACCAGAAGCGGAAACAGAGAAGGCAGCGGACACTCCGGGCGATGCCATCTGTGGGTGGATCAGTGAAGGCTGCGTGCCACACACCTGTGTGGGACTGCCCTGGAGATAAGGCCCACAGCAGAATGGCCACACGGCCACCTGTGCTGCCAAACAGGTGCGCAGCCCAGCCAATTAAACTATTAGACAAACACAGGCCTGTGGGAACAAATTAGCAGGCAGTGCAAACATCTGAGGGAAGACAAAAAGCAGCGGTAAGCACTCACAGTGAGGAACAAGACTTTGCTAGCAAGACTTTGAGGTACGGCACACAGTTTTAGCTGCTATCATCACCAAAACAAATCATCAGAGGAATTTAAGGTAAAGTCTTGATTCTTTTTCAGTGTTTTTTTGTGACACAGGACAGATTTAACTCCCATACATCTAAAAGAGAGATCAGATTATCCACTTAATATAGACAGAGAGGCTGGACTTCATGTAAGAGGACACACTGCTTCCGACTGCAAGACGGGTCAAGAGCATTATTCATGAAAGCTTTTACTTCAGGATCGACGGGGCAGCGTCATTAAGTCAGTGTGGGATTACACAAAGGGCTGAAAGCAACTGAGACAACCATAAATACAAGAAAGAAATGAGGATGTAAGCAGAGATGGTTAGAACAATGTACCTGCAGAGCACAAAGGCAATCGGAGCTACGCTGCTAGAAAAATGCTCAGCTTTAAGGAAAAACATGTATAATTTAAATATATAAAGACGGATATGAAAAATCATCGAATTAAAACGCCTTACTCTCCAGTAATTTCAGAAATTTATTTTCTTCACTTTTTTTTATGAATGGCTTTAGTAAACTTGTTTTAACTTTTGTTTCATAAACTGCTGGAAGTGAACTACACTAGAGCAATAAGTAAAACGTGGGGAAAAAAATATAAGTGTTTGAAAGAGAATTATATTTTAAGTGAGAGCTAAGTTGGAAAAAAATGCAAGGATTTGCCAATTATTTTACCCTCGCGTTTAGTTAAAATAAAAGACCAAATGTTGACATAACACCGCCGCCCCCTCACACGAAGGAATCCAGCATGAGCTGCTCCAGTAAGTATATAATGACAGTGCACAAAGGTTACATTAACATAGCGCAGTCAAATGCAGACTTTTTGTGCGTTGTGATCCATGACAACAAAATGCATTCACATTAATTAGCGGTAACCTTCTCCATGCTGCTGGAAAGTGAGTCGCTTTCCCCCGGAGATAAATAAGTGGCATAAAGATAACTAAATGACCTGAGTGAGTCAACACCCACACAGTCCCCACCTCTGCTTACACACCTAAAGGTTGATCTCTGGCTGAACCTCACCATCTGCTGAATTTAACTCTTTCCTACAGAGATTTAAAGAGGTAAAGCCTTTTATACACATCTGCAGGGCGACCCCAAGCTCGGTGAAACACCCTTGTTACAAGGCCGTTAGACATAAAACAAACTAAAAAAATAAATAAACTGGGAAAAAATAAAATAAAAATCACCTAAATCTCCATATTATGCTAAAGATGCACAGCTTCAAAAAGATTGAAAATAACCTGTCTACCTATTATGCACACTTATGTAAAGAGTCTCGTTTCCTATGCACATTTTAATGAAGGTTAAACTGCACCAATTAAAAAGAAGAAGTCAGTTTAGCCACTTCAGGAAGTTAACCGGTAGGGATGCCCCAGTTTAATCTCAAGTATTGGGTTGACATTTGAATTAAGACATTATTAAATGATCAGTATCGGACACCCTAGCTAAACCCAGATAAAAAATCCCAGGTGTTTGTATACCGTCTCTGATTTCACCTCAGCTCATCTTCAACCAGTGAGTTTTACAGCAGCATTTAGGGCAGCCAACTTTTAAAACCATATTTTCGTGTGGACGCTTTAAAAAAAACCGGGTTAAAATATTAAATACATGTGTTTGTCACTATTCACCTGTTTGTCGCACTGCAAAAACACAAAATCTTACAAAGTAGTTTTGGCTTAGTTTATAGAGCAAATATGAAATAAAACAAAACTAAATTACAAGTAAGTAATCAGCATGATGCTGGAGGTTGTTTCAAGTCAATAAGTCCTTAATATTAATTAAAAAGTATTAGTTATAGGTGAAATAGTCTGCCTTAAAACCAATACTTTTTCATCAAAGCTATGTCTGTTACAGGTGACAAAATGTCAAAACATTACAAAAATATTTAAACTTAAAATGAGTAAACCCCACTGCAGAAACTCAATCTATGGCTGTGGAGCCAAACGTATCAGACACACTGCAGTATCAAATTTACATTTAGTATCTTGGAGTAACTCAGAGCTGTATCATGAACACAAGGTCTTTATTTAAAGAGCTAATTTCCAATAAAAGCTAATTAAGAACATTATTCTTAAGTTTTAAAAGTTTAGTGTGTTGTTTTAGCTCTGTACAGAAGTAATTAAACAGCTGTCTTCTCATTATGCAGTTTTTTTTTTTTTAAATCATCTTTCCGTTAGTACAGTCACCAAATAGAGATATCAGCTTTTTCAAAACTGGTAATAAATCTACTTTAAACAATCAAAAACCGGTGCACATTTTCTCAGTTTATGAAGATTACTGTGTCCAGATGCTCCATAAAAAGAAGCATCCCATCAGGGAGGAGAATGGTCTGAAACAATCCAATATGAAAGAGGAGAAAATTGGGACAAACAAAAGAGCTGAAACTGATCCGAGAGAAAAGGGGAAAAAAAAGAAAAAAAAATCATACTTAATAGGAAAGTGCCTTCCTGAGAGAGAATATCATTAAATGAGTTTCACAGAAATGGATAGGGTATCTACAGCTATAAGACATGTCTAATTTGCAGCAGCGGTCTTGCTTAAGGATACCTCTTGTTCCCAAGTCTTATGAGAGACAAGTTGCTGGAAGAAGAAAGTGGTGTGAACATGAGTAAGAGCAGAAAGAGGAACCCAGTGAAGTGGGTGTAACATTTGATGGCTGGACTGCAGAAAGTCTGGTGTTTAAGCTAAATAAATAATACCTCGCAGCACTTCACAAGGCTTTCACAGAACACCTTTGGAGGACTGGGATAGACTGAATTTGTGGTTAGAGCAACAAATGGGAAGAAAAAACAAATTTATGCTCCTTTGAGACGAGCGCGTTTGACCATTTTAATTGGGGTGACCGCTGCCAGTCAAACAGGAGGAGGAGGAGAGGCCTGCTGCACAAAGCGCGGGGGTAATTTTATTAAGTCGAGTTATTTCGTGGGTCAAACGTCGGTACGCACTAAAGCACGGTGGTGGCGAAAACAAGCAATTTCACTTTTACATGGATAACTGCCTTGTGGATTACACCGGAGTCATTTCACTGCTCAGTACCAGACTAACAACATAATATTTTTTTCCCCCAACTCGCAGAACAAAATAGAAAATCTGGTCCCAGTCGGTGTGTAGCAGCATTTTTCAGCCGTGCAGGTTATTTCCAGCTTTGTTTCTCCTCCCGAAATCGCTCATTTCTCTGGTTAAACAACCCAAACAAAGTGATTTATTCAAGGAGCTGAAATATCCATGGTGCCAGAGGCGTTCTGATCAATTTAAATCAATCAAAATTTCCCAGCGATCACGAAGAGGGAAGGAACAAGTATCCTCTGGCGATAAAACCTCTGGTTACCAACCTGACGGGGTTACTGGTGAGAGACACTCTGAGGGACTCCAGGCAGTTGAGCAGCTTGTCGTCCATGATGCCGGATCGCAGCTCATGCACGTATTCCTGGGACGAAAGGGTGCACTCATGCTTGCTGTTACGTAGCCCACCCTGCAAAGAAAAACACAGCATGATTAGATTAAAACTTTCAACCAGAATATTATCAATATTTCATAAAAAACTGTGCTTATCTGCTGTCAGGCGCTACAATCTAACATCAAGGACAGTCTCCATTACACAGAGAGGCTGAAGCATCGCTACCTAAACAATAATCATGGTGCAACTATGACGTTTTGTAAAAATATTCATAACCGATGTGATTTCTTCCTATTTTATAGGAATGTATTGTTGATGTAATTTGCCAGTATACAGATAAACACTATTTGACCAACAAAATAATATTTAAGCACACAAATGTTATCTTGAAGGTTCAATTTATGTGGCCAGCTGAAATGTAAAGGGCCACATAAAAAGTGATGGCTGGTCAGATTTGGCCTCCGGGCCTTTAGTTTGACACGTGTGCCCTAAGGGGACACGGGTAAAGAGAAAAGAAGAAAAGTTGGTGCATGTGTGCACAGGTGAAAATTTTTAAAAATAGACAAGCGATATAATTTGCCATGTTTTCCTTGAGTTTTTGGATGACACTGTCGGATATATTTAGTGTTTTCAATTCTCCAACAACCATACTCCTTTAGTAGTCTGAGTTTTTGTTTGGCTTCCCAGAGTATCTTGTGTGCAGGAGGAATCAACTTTTCTTTTTTATTTATTTACCCCCTTAGGGGTTCTGTAAAATGATGGTTGCTTTTCATTTGAAAAAAGTAAAGTTTATTTGCTAAGCATTTTCACAGACAAAACTATCACAAAATGATGTACTGAAAGCCAATAAAATAAAACTACTAAAATTAAGTGCCAATAAAAAAAAAGAACACAGAATAAAACACACACCAAAAACTTGCTTTAAAAAGAAAGTTTTTTTGTTGTTGTTTTTTTTAAAGAGTTAAAACTAAATGCAGCTATAGAGTCAGCTGTGAGGTTTGGCCTTCATGAAGAAATTCATATTTTTTTTCCCCAATTGTTCAAAAACCTCTGAGGCATTAACAGAACAGCACTGAGATTAAATGACATGTTGACTATTTTCTAATTACATGACTCCTGAAGGCAACTTGATATCCTGGATTTTCTTCAGGGGTGTCAGAGTAAAGGGCACACCTAAAATCTCGATTTAATCAAATACAACAAGACAAATTACTGAATGTGCTGACTATTTTCCTCCTTTTAATGTTAATCAGCAAAGACTAACCCTGGACTCCACCACCAGAGCCAAAGACAGGCTCCACAGGCAATCTGCAGCAGCTTCCGCTTCAAGTAAATGGATTATTGTGTTTAATATCCACTGGGACGTGTTTCAACACTGATGTTTACACAATGAGACCAGTGGTGGCACCACACACATTCAACTCAAACACATAAACACAGACTCCCCAAGCACACAATGAAGCCCACTTTAGACTATACATTGATAAATGGATCGACTCCAACGTCACTAAGTGATTGAATCGATTGTTGGCCCCAGAATTACTTCCAGGCACTCAAACAGGCCTCAAAATGAAAAAAATAAGCTTTTCATGGAAATACTTTACATTTTTGCCCCTCCACGAACATCTCAGGAAATTTGATAATTACTGGATGATTTCGCTAAAATTACCTAGCTAGGCGGAAGTCGGGTCTCGGTACCAAACAAAACACATGAGGAAACTCACTACTGAGACTCCATCACATTATCCTGACCCAGACTCCCTGGCATAAGGAACACGGCTGTATTCATTCTCGTATTGCTGGTTCCCTACAAAGTGAGCTGCGCTAATAGGCAGTTTGGGAGGTAATAAGCTAGCTCATTTATCTGGAGAAAAGAGAGACCTGCTGTTCTGCTGCAATACACAGTCAACATGAATGAGTCCTTTTTGTGTGTGTGTGTGTGTGTGTGTGTGTGCATGAAAAAACGGAGGGATTCGAACAGCAAGCCACAAATTTTGTTCTTTTCATGCAAGCTGAGCTTGGCCATTGACTAAATGATATAAGAAATATATTTCTTTGAAAATGGTAATGTAAAATCATATTTTTAAAATGATCACCAAAGCATGATTCATACACTCAGGAGAAACTGCGGCATGCAGCTTAGCAGCTTATTGCTGGGGCTATATTAGTTCTCAAGTACTAAGATGAATATTATGCAGAGGAATAAACAAGAAACTAATTTCAGATTTCACAACAGATTTCTGTCAACAACAGGAAATCTGCTGCATATTTACACCATATAAAATTCAAGTAGTTTTGGTATTTACAGCTCAGAATAGCTGAGTATATTAGAGTCAATTAGAGCAAAAGGAAATAGGCAAAAGGTAAAGCTACACAATCTCTAGAAAACTTTTAATTGTGATGCTATTGCTGAATATTGCAATGGTGATATTGATTTCAAGTAATCCACATTTTTCTGACATTTTCTTTTCCTCCATCCCAATGACCCCCCACTTTCAATTTCAACATCTGAGCTACTAAAAAAAAAAACAAAAAAACAAACAAACAAAAAAACCTGAAAACTTTTTTCTGTTTTGGGTTTTTCACACATAGACCCCGTGACAGTTCCCTTTGCTATTTACTGAGGCTGCAGAGTCGATCATCAACGCAACATGTTTGCAGTATCAATGTTGAGATAACAGTTCAGAATGCTCCATGTAGTCTTGCTTTGTAAGCTGATAACATATTTGGTGATGCATTTTGCTTAGAGAATAATAAAATGACAAACCATGTTGCTATGTGCGTGTGCCGTTTCATTCCTGAAACAGCAGATGTGGGTATAGTTTAACAAGTTTTAACAAAATAACTTATGTTGTTTGAGTAGATTCATTAAAGAGCTATATAAAGTGTTCAGTAACACAGGAAATTGCTTGTGTCATATTCAATAATACTACAAACTGGTAAAAATACTGCTCAAGTAAAAGTTATTTATCCTTAACAACAAAGTGAAACACATCTGAAATGAGCTGTAATTTTATAGTAAGTAGTTTCTTTTATCATAATGTAATTGTTTTTGTTTCACTTTAAGGAGGCTCAATACCAAAGCAGAGAACAGAGGAGGAAAAACGTACCAGAGCTTTAATTTTTAAAGATAAAAAGAGCAAAAGTACATAAAGAACTAAAGACAAGTTTTGCAGCCCTTGAGATTGTTTTTATATGGATGTCATAGTATTAAGTTTGTGTGTAAAGAGCAATACCTTTCACATTGTTTTGGTAATTTTCCTCATACTTAATATTATCTGATGTCTTAAAAACAGACAAGGTATAAGTCTGGAGGGAACGTAGAAACTGTTTTATTGAGAGTCATTGTGGGTATTGATTTGCAGGATGAACTTGAGACAAAATCGAAAGTTTCTTAAAATCCTACATTATTGATTTAAACATTTTGTCAAGACGCCAAAGGCCCAGTAATCTATTTTACATAAAGATTTTTCTCTGTAGTGCAGACTCTGTGTGCACAAGTTTTTATTCTAAATTATCCGAGTGCTTCACCAACTCACAACTCGAGAACCTCAAGTTAACAGAAATGTCCGACTTAATGTTTGATTAAATTTGAGGCAGAGTTTCAGAATTAGTTTTCATTTTGTGACTGGACTAACTGATTATATTAAACCCATTCCTTTATTTTTTTATTTTTTTCTGAAACTCCTGCTCCTGACAAAACTTGATTCTATAAACCTAACAATAAAAGCTTTCCACTTTGCAGTACTAAGGGAAACACATAAATGTTGGTATAAAAGGCAGGTGAACAACTTTTCATTCCTGAATGTGAAGGTTTTTTTCTAACCATACATTCACAGTAATGGGCCGTTAAAGGCGAATGCGTTTCTAAACAAATACATTTATCTTCCTACTTCTCCACAGTTCCCAGCAAACGTTCCACGATGTCCAGAAAAGCTTGAGATCTGGTTTCAGCACACGATCTGACCTCTGGAAACCGAAGACTTTGGCAATAAACTGCTTTTTTATGCTCCGAGCTCAAATCAATGGACTCCATTGGGGTAATATCAACATTACACCACCATACTGGCAGCGGAGAAACTATCTGAGGAGCAGGAGGGGAAGTGGAGCAGTCGCTGGCTGGCCTCTGAGTAATAAAAGGTTTTTCCTCTGACTGGTCCTGAAATAATGGTCAACCTGGAGAAAGAGTGCAAGACTAAATCAAGAGGAGAATCGTGTGAGTGGGTATTGATGCATGAGTAAGAAAAGCCAAAGAATAAAGGGCAAGAAGATATAGAAAAGGTAAAAAAAAATAAAAATAAAAGATAACTTTGGGAATAAAGGGCAGGGCAAAGACCATCAGGAGACTCTGCAACCTCAACGGCGGAGGGACGACTTGAGCCTCATCTCCTGCAGCTTATTGAATCCCCTGTATGTCGATAACAGTATTTCCTGCCAAAGAAAATAGTGTTGGGAGCAATTACTTCAGTGAGCCTGTCAATTTCATTTTGGGGGGGTTAGAGGTGCATCACGGACCCTTTCCTCCACCGCTTCCACCTCTGTGCCCCCGCCCCCACGTTCTCCGTACGCCGTGGGGAGAGACGGAGTGTCTCGCCATCTATCGAGGGAGGAGCAGGGAGACGATGCCAAGTCGGCTGCTCCTCAACATGTCATCTTCACCTGTAATGAGCCTGTAACAGGCTTCCTCACTGCCCAGTGCTCGGCCCACTCAGGCTGACTGATGGATACATTATTCAGGTTCTTTGTCAGCTTAGTGGAAAAGCTCATAAACAGTAACAAGTCTGGGCCGGATGCTCATGCAGAGATCCAGCAGATGTTGCTTTCCATAGCGGTTGGCTCTCTTTCTGCTGCTAACTGTCAAAATATTGTTCTTGCAGCTCTTTTTTTATCATGATTTATAGTTTAATTATTCTATTTACCATTTTGATATATTCTGTTTGGATATTTTGTAACAACTTAGCACATAATTATAAAGTGGAAGGAAAATACAAGGTTTTGAAATTTACTTTGAAAGAAAAATGTGAAAGTGCTCAGCTGCCTTTAGACTTAAATTCCGGAGTAAAATATATATTTTAAATAAATTATCCAAAAATGTGACGAGAATGTCACAACTGCAAACCTACCAAGACACAGCCGTCTATCTAAACTCAAAACCTCGGAGTGGAGAGCTTCAATCAGAGAAGCACAAGGCCCAAGGCACCTCATGAGAGACTGCAGAG